AGCTAAGGGCTTTGGGTTTCGGGTTTAGGGTTCGGGGTTTAGGTTCCAGGGACCGAAGGGTTTGGGGACCTTCCCAAGGGGGCGGCCCAACAGTGGTTGGCGTAAGGATTTCTCGACTTTGGCGGCATGAGCCTGAGGTGTCGGGCTGCAGGACAAGCGTGTGGTGCATGAGGCGGCTTCAAGATTTAGGGTTTAGGGCTTAGGGGTTTAGGGGCTTTAGGCTTTAGGGTTTAGGGTTTAGGGGTTTAGGGTTTAGGGGTTTAGGGTTTAGGGGTTTAAGGGTTTAGGGTTTAAGGGTTTAGGGAAAAAAGCAGCCCCTGACATCCCAGACCCTGTATATAAACCCCAAGCAGCCCCCACGGGGCCTGAAAACCTCAAGCCGTACACCCTCATAAAGCCCTACAGAAACACTTAAACAGCCTTCCCAAACCCAAGAGAAAGCGTAAACCCCCTTATAAACCCTGTTTAAACCCTGGCCAAAAACCATAAAACCCTCAAAAGGGCTGAAACTTGCACCCTGATCAGACCGGTACAAAACAAAACAAAGAACCTTGAAGCCCTTTCAAAGCCCTCACAAACCCTTTCAAGCCCTTGTAGAACCCTTGTAGGCTCTTTAAGGGAACGCTGATAGAACCCTGGACCATGATCGCTTATAGAACCCCTCTCGCTCTCGATCCCAAACAGGCACCCTGATAGAGGAGAGCCCTGATAGAACCCCTAAGCCTAAACCCTTCCTCAATGCGCATTAATAGATGTTTGAAAGGAACCCTGATAGAGCCCTTAGAACCCCTAAACCTGAACGAACCCTTAAGGAAACCTCGGAAAGGAACCCTTGAAACCAACTCTTGCAGACCTGTATTTATCCCTTTGAGAAGGGATCCTCTCTAAGAGGGATCCCTTTAAGAGGAATCCAAAACCAGGAGCCTTATATCTTCAAAGGGAGCCTTCAAGGTACCCTTAAAGCCCTCAAAGGAACCCTTGAAGGAACCCTTAAAAGGAGCCCTTATAAACGGAAGCCTTAAAAAAGCAGCCCTGAAAAGAAACCCTTAAAGGTAAGCCCTTGAAAGGAACCCTTAACAAAAAGGGCCCTAAACCCTAAACCCTTAACTAAAAGGGCCCAGCGCCTGGCTCTTCTTCGCCTTCTCCAGAGCTGCCTTGGCGAACTTGATCTCGTCGGCCAGGGACTGGGTCACCATCCTCGGAGGGTTTAACACGGTTTAGGGTTTAGGGTTTAGGGTTTAACGGTTTAGGGCTTGTCGGGTTTTTAGGGCTTAGGGCTTGTACGGTTTAGGGATTTTAAGGCTTAGGGCTTATAGGATTTAGGGTTTAGGCAAACTTGGCAGGCTAGGGCCTTTACAAGGGATCTACAAGGGAAGGTTCACCATCCTCGGAGGCGTTGGGGAGGGCTTAGGGTTCCTTAAAGGGTGACTCTACGGGTTCGAAATAGGCTTAGGGTTTAGGGTCCGGTTGCCAAAAAGGTTCCTCGATAAGTTTGGGCTTACGGCGTTGGGTTTTAAGGCTTAGGGTGACCATCTTCTGAACCCTAAACCCTAAACCCTACTTGGATGTTGGGTTGTTGTTGTGGGTGTTTCGGGCCTTGCGGCTGGGGTCTGCCAGCTTCCGGGCTGGAGGTGGTAGGAGTTGAGGGCGGCTTTAGATGTTAGGTTTTAGGGTTTAGGGTTTAGGGTTTAGGGTTTAGGGTTGAGGGTTTGGGCTGCCGAAGTCGGGACAGTATGTCAACTGGGCCCCGATTGAAGGACGGACGCTAACCC